TCAAACTTGTGTGTGGTCTTGCGTTGTCATGATGGAACACAACTCCTTTACAATTAACAAGCTCTGGACGTTTCTGGATGATGGACTCATTCAAACTGTCCAATTGCCGACAGTACACATTTAAATTGATTGTTTGGTTCCTTGGTAGGAGCTCGAAAAACATGACACTTCTAAAATCCCACCACACTGAGAGCATAACCTTCCTCTGATGAATGTCTGCTTTCGATGTCGTTTGGAGCCAATCATCACGTTGGGACCAAGACCGTTTGCGCACCACATTGTTGTAAACAATCCACTTCTCATCACCAGTTATCAGTCGCTTCAAAAAAGAATCATTTTCCTCACATTTAACAAGCATATCACAGATGTTTATATGCACCGACAAATGAACTTCTTTGAGTTCATGAGGAATCCAAATATCAAGCTTGCTTACGCATCCCAGCTTCTTCAGATGGCCGTGAATGTTTGAATGATGGATGTTCAATGTTTCTGCAATCTCGTGTCATATAACATGGGTTTGACTCAATCAATGCCTTTATCTTGTCATCATCAACCTTGGTGGGCCTCCCTGTCCAAGGAGTGTCGTTGAGATCAAAATCACCAGTATGGAATTTCATGAACCGTCGTTGGCACTGACATTCTTGTAGAGCATTATCACCGTCAACTTTACGCCACTTTTCACAAGCTTGATGTGCGTTCTTCTCTTTATGGGAAGTAAAACAGTAAAATATGGCAAAAATGCAGTTTCGTCTTCCATTTTCAACTTGTAAAATCTCCAAAACTCAACCAAATCGCTCAATTTTTTTTTTAGAATGAAGCTAGAACTGTCAGCTGTCAAATGACATAGCAAAAACATAGATGCGAATGACTCTAGTGCTTCCAAAAATGAACTAATGCCATCTGTTTGCAACATGTGTCATGACTTTTCCGACAACCCAATATCATAACAGAAACTATTCCAGAATGTTCTTTGTATTAAAAAAATATATAATCTTTATAGGCTATTCTCTTCTAAAATAACCTATGAAACTGGTTATTCAGGAGTATATTATAGCCATTAAGTCTAGACTTACTCTGATTTACTAACGTCACTACAGAATGATATACTCATTTCTGAAACAGAACTGGTATTTGATTTACCTGCTTGTGTACTCACAAGCAGGTTTAAAGTGACAGTAGCATGTTGCTATCACTCGCAATAGAGGCTCTTCAGTTTCCTTTCATGGCACTCAAAACTCCAGTTCAGTAGTAATCTGTTATCATTTTTTTACTCATGAATATACTTAATTTGATATTAGCAGTCACTTGTGCTCAACTGAAGAGTATTACATACTGTTCTCTTTTCCATGAAGCTACTGAGAAAATCATCTATTTCAGTTTTTCCCTCCAAGAAATCTTCAGCAATATTATCAGATTCTTCCTCAGCTTCATGTGCAGCTACTTTCAATCTTGCCTGAAGAGCACTTGCACTACAGCTCTGAAAAAGAAAATCCAGTACTATATTATCTTATACTGCTCAGAAAAACTCCTTAGAGAGAAAGAAAATGAGGCAGAGGTAGGGAGAAGCAATTCATTGTATGCCTTACAGAGCCTCTTTCTGAGGAAATCTGCTACCACCCAGGTCCTCAGCTTTTGGAAATAGGGGAGAATGCCTAACACAAGAGAAACAAATCCACTGGCTATATATTATTAAATGAGAGAAACTGGGCAAATCATTGTCCTCTCTTAGGGATTCAGGAATCAGATAATTGTGATAGGCACCCTCTACCTCCTGCTATTCCTGCCAGTGTGTAATCCCTCTCCCCTTGAGTATGGGCTGCACTTAAGGACTAGCTTCTAATGAACAGAATATGATAAAAGTGATGGGATTAAATTTAACCAAAGAGGTGAAAGAATTGTACACTGAAAACTATAAAACACTACAAGAAATTGAAGACATAAATAAGTGGAAAGATATCCCGTGTTCATAGACTGGAAGACTTAATATTGTTAAGAATACTACCCCAAATGATCTACAGAGTTAATTAAATCCCTATCAAAATCTCCATGACATTTTTTGCAGAAATAGAAAAACCCACCTTAAAATTCATATGTAATCTCAAGGGACCCCAACTAGCCAAAATAATCTTGAAAAAGAAGAACCAAAATTGGAGGATTCATACTGATTCCAAAACTTACTGCATAGCTACAGTAATCAAAACAGTGTGGTACTGGCAATAAGAAGACATATAGATAAAAGGAATAGTGAGTCTAGAAATATACCTTCACATATATGGTCAAATACTTTCAAAACGTGTGCCAAAACCATTCAAAGGGGGAAAGGACAGTCTTCACCAACTGGTGCTGGGAAAACTGGATATCTACGTGCAGAATAAGGCTGGACCCTGACCTTACCTCACACTCAAAAATTAACTCAAAATGGATCAAAGAACTTAATGTAGGAACTGAAGCGATTTTGAATAACAGTCATCCTAGTGGATGTTAGATGGTAGCCCATGGTCATACATTACACACAGGAATGTACAGAAATGCATCAGTTTCTTATCACCCTTGCCAACGCTGGTTATCTTTACAAGTTTGGCTCACACAGATGATGCAATTTGCTCTTTTATTATTATGGTTATTATTATTATTATTATTATTATTATTATTATTAGGTTGAGCATCTTTTCAAATGTTTCCATTTACTTATTCATTAAATATTTACTGAGTGTCTACTATGTGCCAAGCACTAGACCAGGTACTAGGTACACCGGGGAAACAAAACAACAGGCTCCTTGCACGCATGGCTCTAATAATCTAGTAAAGTGGTTTCCAGACTTTAGAGTGTAGAAGATCCATCATCTGCAGAGATTCTGAGTGAGCACATTTAGAGAAGAATCTAGGAATCAGGGTTGTTTTTAAGCATTTCAAGAATCACTTCAAGCAATTCTTATATAAGTGGTCCGGGGGGGCAGAATAACTGTTACATCATATTTATTGGATGTTTATATTTTTCCTTTTGAGAGTTTCCTGTTCCTTCCTTTGCTTATTTGTAAGGGCTCTTTATGAACCATTGCCATCATTAATATTTGTCACATGTTACAAATATTTGTTCCTGTCTTTGTTTTGATTTTATGATTTTCAATACATTCAAGTTTTAAATTTATATGTAGCTTTGAAATATATCAAATTTTTTAATGGTTCTATCGTATCATGCTTAGAATGGATTTTCCCACCATAATCTTAAAAAAAAAAAAAAATCCTAAGAGATACTTGCCTCTCATAACTTTATGGTTTCCACTTAAATCTTTCTGTGTATGGTATGATATAAGCATCTTTTTTCTAAATGGAGTGCCAATTATGTAATTTATTAAATCCTCAATTTTTTTAAACTAATTACTCATATACACATGAGTCTGCTTCTGAACTGCATGGTCTGTTCCACAGAATTTTTGTTTTCCTACAAAACTACTATTTAAATAATGTGTTTTATAGTATACAGTAAAACTTTGGATTGCAAGTAACTTGGTTTGTGAGTGTTCTGCAAGACGAGCAAACATTTCTAATACATTTTAACATGGTAAATGAGCAATGTCTTGTAATATGAGTAGTTTGTTTCCGGAATGAATTATGCTCGCAAACCAAGGTAGTACTGTATTTTGTACTATATTTTGTTATTTGTTTTGTTATCTGTTCTGACTACTTTTACCCACTTAGTCTTTCAAATGAACTTTGGAATATATCTGTCAGAATAAAAAAAATACTCTTGGGATTCTGATTGGAAGTATATTAAAATTTTAATTTATTTTGGGAAGAATGAAATCAGAATACTATATCTTTCAGCCCATGAGTATTCTATGTTGCTTCATTTACTCAGGTCTTTTATGTCATTCAGTAAAGCCTCCTAACTTACTTCATTGGGTTCAGTTCTAAGTATTTTATAATTTTGTTGCTATTGTAAATGAGTTTGTCTACTTCATTTTTCATTGGCAGTTGTTGGAATCTAGGGGATAACTTTCTCCATTTGCTAGGATTTTTGCTTGTTTGTTTGTTTTCTGTTAACAACTGTTTCATCTTTTATTTTACATTATACCTTTTCTTTTTCCTGTCTTGTTGCAGTGGCCAGAACCTTCCAAGCAATGTTAAATAGCAGCAATAGTGAGGCATCGCTATCTTATTTCTAACATTAATGGGATGCTGGAAATGTTCGGTCATTAGGTATGCTGTTTGCTGTTTCTAGTTATTTTTTAATCAAATTAAGGAATATATTATCTTAGTTTACTAAGAATTTGTATAAGGAATGATGTTGATTATTGTGAAAAGTTTCTTCAGCATTTACTATACTCTTATGTGTATCTAAGAGTAGTTCAGTTGAATCGCTCAGATTTTCTAGTTAAGAGGGAGGGAGGACTGCTTACATTTGACTCCTGACTCTGATAGTACTTATTTAATATTCCTATGCCTCAGTTTGCTCATCTGTAAAACAGAAAAATAGTAATTTAACCCTACCTCAGAGGATTTGGGGGAAACAATGGCAATATATGTTAATAGTCCAGTGCAATGTAAAACACGTAATTGCTCAGTGTTCACTGTTATTCTCATTTCTCTTAGTCTAAAGGATGATCATATCTGAAACAATTATAAATTTATATTCTCCTTTACCATCCTTATTTTGTTGTTGTTTTATTTCTACTTTATATTTTACCTTTCAGAATATCTGACTTTAAAGGAAATAGAATATTGTTAATTATGATGTTGGTTACTCATATGAAATATAAGGATTATATTCTCTATTCTCTTTTCGTTTTTAAAGATGTATTTTTTCAGAAATAAGTTGACTTTTATAAAATCCTTTTGATTTTTTATATAAGTAGATTTCTAGTATAAATTCTATTATTTGTGGTGAATTATACTTTATACTTGTTATATATTTTTCAGTTTGCTCACTTTTCATTTAAGGTCTCTGTACATAAGTTTACAAGTGAGTTTTTTGTTAAGATTTTATTACAAGAGTTAAGCTGGCTTTACTATAACTTTCCCAGAAAAGTTATATATGGAACTTTTAATATTTTTCTGTTTTGAAACTAAATATGCTCTTGCGTGAGCACAAATGACTTATCATACCTCAGAACTGAGAGCTGTTCATCTGCATTTAAAAGTATCATGCCTTATAGAGTAAGACACCTGGGCTGGCCGAGGGGCGCGTTGGTTAAGAGCTGGCTTGGCACGCCAGAGAGCCCCGGTTTGGATCCCACATATGAGAGCCAGCGACACTGCCCTCTACAGCTAAGATGCTGAACAGCTCAACCTGGAGCTGGGCTGCCGAGTCGCTGGCGACAGCGTAGGCTGCAGCCCCTGCTGCAGTGGGTTGCCATGGGCTACCGTGTGTAGCCAGCAGCCAGCGTGAGCAGTGAGCAGCCGCAGTGAGCGGCCGTCCAGAAGCCGGCGACTGATCTGCCTCACCCAGGAAGAGTGCAATGATGGTGACAACTTGGGCCAGTGAAGCGACGTCCTCCACAACTAGACTGAAGAACAAAAGGACAGCAACTTGTCTGTTCCCCTTCCCCCAATTCCCCAACACTGTTCCCATCCCCCCAATTCCCAAATTAAAAAAAAAAAAAAAAGACACCTAATAAATGCTTTATGATAACAATGAAAGTAAAAATGTGGTTCATGCACATTACGATTAAAAATTCTATGGTAAAAGAAAAGAGCTACATAATCTTACCTCACTAAGTTCATGCTGCCTTTGCATCTTCTTTTCAAAAGTAGATTTCATTTGAGTAAGTAATTCATACTAAAAGAGAAAATTAAAATGGTGTTTTATTCTGTTTTTAAATTATATGGATTTCTTCAAAATGACAACTAACTCACCTTATCTAAAACAGTTTGCCTTTTGGCTTCCAAGCTGGGCTCCAGAAGAAGATTTTTTCCTGTAAGATAAATTTCTGGTTTATTTCTAGGTAAAGATCGCATTTGTCTTAGGAAATTTAAGAAGTAAGGGAGGACATACTTGCTAGCTCCTCAATACTTTTTACTAAGTCACCCTTGTCAGTAATAATTTGTTTTAGTTGAGGCAAAGTAAGAAACTGTTCTAGTAATAGCTCCTCTTGTTCATTCATATCTGTAAGTTGTGACACACTAGAAAAACAGAAAAAAATATGTTAATGAATTTCAGTAATCTAGTTTTTGTCAATTTTAAGTATTCACGATTTTTCAGTTTTATTCAGCTGGTAGGGTTCTAAATAATTTTTGAAGTATCTATTTTTATATTTATACATACATAAGAAAGCAAGATATAATCTTAAAAGCAAATAAACCACCACAATGGAGCATAAAGTAGTCTGAATGTACTGTCAAATCACTACAGGACTATGAAGACAAAGGTGCATGAACAGCCATAACAACCTCCCAATTTTAACCTCTGTGCCTATTTAGCTAATAGGTATGTGGCTGTCATACTAAAAGATATGTGTAAGTATATGTGTATGTGTGTAAGCACAGAAGGCTAAATCAAAAGTAAAAATCAATATCCATAGGATGAAAAAGACAACTGGATGGATGGAATAGGGATGAAAGCTAAACCTTTCTGAACACATCTTTTAGTTTTGACTATTGATCCACGTAAAAGTATTATATGATTAAAAAAACAAAATTAAAGAAAAAAGCAGTTTCTAAAATTCAAAGCAAATGGAAATAAATGAACCTGTTTTTTTCTAAGTTTCATAATCACCCAGAAAAGTATTATTTGAAGAGACTTTGAAAAATAGTATTTGTATCTGGTGTGATATATTCTAACGACAAAAGAAGTGTTAAAAACAAAAAAAACCAAATGAACAATATCGTATCCTATATTCAATAATAATAATAATAATATTGGCATTGTTATTTTGAAAAACAACAGTTAGCTTTCAGAGAAATGGCTGCCTTCAGGTCAGGAAAAAGTAATATTCATAATAAATCCATGGTATCTTTGTTTGGACAGAAAGGATATAGAGGCCAACTCAAAGAGTTTCCTATTGACTAAAGATGGGACTGTTTAAGCATCAAAAAGAATAATGACTGCAATGGACTGACTGACACAATCAGATATATTTTTTTTAAATGTTTGAGTTCTTAATACAAAAACAACTACAAAAAACAAACAGAACCTTTGAGATTGCCTCTGTATCAACTCATGATTCTGAAAATTGATAAAGAGGAAAAAAAATCACGCATTTATCTTGCCTTTTCTGTATGAAGTATATTTCAATAAACTAAATAGCTGATTTAGAAAGTTCTTCATAGAATTCTAGCTAATTCTGGCAGTAAGAAGTCACATTTGATTTCTTAATGAATTCATTGATAGTCAATGATTTCATGTGTTTCAACATGTTTCGAATTAATGTCACTAAAAATAGGACAACCAGACACACCAATGCTGCCTTATGTGATATAATAGGAAGTTTGCATTAATTATGATGTAAGAATTCTTGCCAAATATTTAAACCTAAATCTCTTTTTTTAGCTTTGAGATATAATTGATATATAATATTGGATAAGTTTAAGGTGTACAATGAAATGATCTGATAAAAGTTGAACCTAAATCTAATTAAAACTCTAGATGTAGGCACCAGTGGAAGGAAATACAGTAAAACCTTGGATCGAGAGTAACTTGGTTTGCGAGTGTTCCGCAAGACTAGCAAACATTCCTAATACATTTTAACGTGGTAAGAGAGTGTTGTCTTGCAATATGAGTAGTTTGTTTCTGGAATGAATTATGCTCGCAAACCCAGTACGTTTTAACTTGGTAAATGAGCAATGTCTTGCAATATGAATAGTTTGTTTCTGAAACAAATTATGCTCGCAAACCAAGGTATTACTGTATAGGAAATACAGGAATATCTTCAATGGCACTACAAGAATGCAATCAGGCAAAAACAGGACATGGGAAATTCTTTAGGATAAATAACCTATTTCTTCAATAGAAATGTAATAATATAATATGTGTATAATTTACATGTATTATACATATACATTTATGTTTATGTATGTATATACGTATGTATATGTATGTGTATATGTGTGTAGGTATATGTATATGTATATTAATAAAGGTGGGAGAAATGGTACACAAAAGAAATATCAGAGATACAGTTTTCAAATGTAATAGCGAGACTTTGTTTTGAATCCTGATTCAAATAAACTACCAACAAAAAGATTAAGACCCTGGGGAAATGAGAAAATATTAGAGAATTATCATTAATTTTGTTAGGTATGATGATGTGGATTGGAGTTATGGTAAAGAAAAAGTCCTTACCTGGTGGAGGAATTTAGTGAAGAACTTAGGGATGAAATGATGTAATATTTGAGATTTGGTTTAAAATAATCCTGACCCATACCCAAAGTTTCCAAAAAAAGCTGGAAGGGTAGATGAAGCAAGACAAGCAAAGAAGTTCACCTTTTTGTATTTTTTGACATTTTCATAGTAATTTTTTTAAAAAGAAAGGAAGACAAAAAAAGAAAGAGAATCCTTTACAACATGGAAATAATAATAGAAGCAACTTCGTGAGGTTGCTGCAAGCATTACAATGCATATAAACCCTTAATATGTATGTGGTATACTGTAAACCTATATTAACTAACTATTATCAGAAAATAATAAATCACTATTTCCTAAAACTGATGGTAAAACACTGGATCAAATAAAGCTAAAATGTTTTTTTAACTATAAGATTTCTCACATGTATTTTTTGATTGTACATAATGGTGGCATATATTCTAAAGAGAAAAAGAACTGCAAAAAAAATTTTTAAATTACATTCAGTAATCTTACTAATCTTACAGCTTTACAAGTATTGTAAACTTTCAGTGGGGTATAAAGGATGCAATGCACAAAGTTTAGTGGCCACAAAACATGTTTTTTGTGTTTTTTTTCATGCAGCATCTAAAAGGAGCAGTGTTCTATGAAAAATGATACCTTAAACTTGAATATTACAAACTTATTTCCCATAAATTTGAATAAAATTTGGCTCTTGCTTTTACTTTACAAGAACTTTCTCTATGTACAAACTTCTATCTACTAAAGGAACAATGAAAAGGTCTAAAATAGACCAAGGTGTATTTTCAAATCTTTAGAGATAATGTATTCAGAAATAATTTTCACAAGACTATAAGCCACACAAGAGAAAGAACATTGTTATCCTGGTAAGTATTATATCATTCCCAGCATCTACAAAAATCGTTGGGTACATATTAGTCACTCAATAAATAGAGCCTACAAAACATAAAACTAATTTAGATTTATAAAACTTCCCCATAAGACAACCACAATTTCGGAGTAGCAAAGATTTAAAAGATACTTTGTTTAATATGGATATGAAAATGATGATCTGGTTTGCAATTACAAATAAAACAGACAACGAATACCAACGTTATTCTCGAAGTATTTTTTACCTCAGTTCTGAGAGTTCTGGGAATTCATCAGGGACATCTGGCATCTTGTAACCAAAACCATTTTGGCTTATCTAAAAAGAGTTTGAAATGGTATTAAATTTCAGCCATCTTTTTGACTGCTCCTTTTTTCTTTAAAAGTACTTTTTAATGTACTACATCCCATAACTGTTTTCATTATCACATCTTGATCTTCATACTTTATACTATCCTTACTCATCTCTCTTTCTTTACACTATTTTTTTTTTCAGTTTACCTTTATACACAAAGAGTTACTTTCTTTTCTTTTTTGTGGGGATCGTTTGAGTACCTGTGTTAGCTCTCTTTCTTGAGCAAGTACATAGCTGCAAAATAAATTTCTTAAGTACTTCTGTGACAAGTGTGAAGAATTGTCTGTGTAGATTTCATCTATGTATAAATACATTTATCTCAAGTGAAGGATTTACGTATAGAAAAACCTTAATAAGTTGGAAAAAGTCTGAATAGTTACATAATTAAGTTCAACGTGACAGTAGGGCAGATAAGGAAGACTATCCATCGTTTGAATACAGATGACTTTTTAAAATTAAAGACCCATGAAAAGTTCTGTTGTAATTTTGTTTATACTACTAATTATAGTTTGTTCATAATATTCATTAATGCAATGGTGAAAAATTTTGGAAAAACAAAGTCGACTTGGGTCTATATTCTAAATTATTACAAACATTAAAATTACTAAAGTTGGATATAATGAAGCTTTGTGAGTATTACTAAGGGTGATACTAAGGGTTAAAATGAAGGTTTTTAAATCCCTTTATATGTTTTATACACAAATATCAATCTCTGCCTCAGTAATATCCCACATGGCAAGAGTTACCAGCTTAATTAAGGAGCATACAATTTTTAAAACCAAAGGGACACTTAAAGCCCTTAGTGTGCCATAGCAGACCCTCCACATCCTGTTTCTCCTGCCTGAGCACTTCTTGTGCCTGTGCCTAAATCCTACATGACAGCCAGAGACATCTTTTATAGGTAGCTTCACAAACACACCATCCGGTTTATGCCACCACTCCTTTGTCAATGCTGTTACCTCTTCACAGAATGCTTTATCCTGACAAATTCATTAGCATCTAGCAAAATCTGGCCTCAAGCATAAATTCACTTTCATTCATCTGCCTCATTTTAACTGAGCACCTAATACACATATGTATTAGGCATGGTTTGAGGCACTAAGGATAAAGTGGTGGAAAAAACAGGATCACATTTTTTATAAAGGCATCCCCTTCTAGTTCCTCCTTGGTCCCTGGGGGCATTGACCATACCCTCAGCTGTCTTCACCATAACTCCAAACTATTTCTTCTCTATTGAAGTTCCTTATTTACAAACATTTGATTATATGCTGGTCACCTCTCTGAGTCTGTTACTTGAGTTAGAAGATGTGATTTAATCTTTTTATCTTTTGTGCCAGACTTAGTGGCTGGCACAAGGAGGCATATAAGTGTTTGTTAAGTGAATGAATGTTTCAAGGGTACAAAATATAGATAACTGAAGATACCAACCGGTGCTGAAGTGTCTGTTGTGGGAACAGGTAACGGCAAATTTGAAAGGATGCCAAATGAAGGAGCAGCGGGTTTTGCTGTTGTATAACTTGTCGTTGAAGAAGAAACAGTGTCCGCGACAGATAAAGAGCTGATAGCCCTGTTAGCTTCTTGGGGGGGATATGGAGGAAGAAATGGAAAACCCTGAGAAGCATACGGTGGCATCCCACCTGGGGTACTGTATAGGCTAAAGAGAGAGAGAAATATTAGATAAGCATTTAGGGGTAAATTTGTCAAGTTATTCCTAAATAACAATGGTTATATGTTATAGATGGAATCTATTTATGGCAGGTATCACTTTATAAATATGCAACTGAATTAAATATTACATAAATTGATAAAATATGACTCCCAAAAAGAAAATTTTGGCTTCCATGAAAAAGAAAAATGTTTTAGAAAACATACAATACAACTTGTTAGTAGAAGTGAACAGATAGGCCATATTTCTGTTTTGAGCATTCCACTGGCATAAATCAGTACCTTCACAGAGGGAATGGAGAATAACATTTAATCCAGAAAATGTGGTCAAGTGAAGGTTGCTTAGTAGAAGGTTGCATTCAAATTAATGATGTGTATTAGCCAGATGCTGTGAAATAGGCTGCTTCCAAAGGAACTTGTTCATTTTGGAATTATATTTCTTTGAGGCCTATCTCAAAATACTATTTGTTATTAGTATTAGCGGGAAGCATACAAATCATTTCTTCTATGCTCCAAATAAGGACCACCATTAGTTTTGATGCTGTAAATCCCACAAACCATCTTTATCTTCTTGCAACTTGGAGCACAGCACAGAATTTTAGCACAGAAGTGGCCTAACACCCAGGGAAAATAACTAATGATTATTATCACTAAAATTCTCAAAGCATACTAAAACTAATAGATAAAAGTTTGATGAAGAGGCTATTAACAAAGTCTCAAATTTCTCCCAATAAAACTGTTCCTTATCACCAAGAGAAATTAGTAACTTTACAGTGGAGTAATCTAGTGAATACTATTTAACCAAATAATAAAAGTAAACAATAATAATGGGACAAACCATGTACCTCTTGATACCCTTGGGACGCAATGTCATTTATTTCACGTTCCTGTCAAAAATGTATAACCTGAATCTAATCATAAGAAAACATCAGCAAAACCTCATTTGAGGGGTATTCTTCAAAACAACTTCTTAAACTCCTCCAAAATGTCAAAATGAAAGAGAATATTATTTTGGCAAGATAATAATATGGGTTCCAGTTCAAGATGGTGACATAGGGAGATCCTAAACTCACTTCCTCCCATGGACACACTGAATGTACAAGCTACATATGAAACAATTTCCTCTGGAAAAAAAAAAACGAAAAAAACCTAAAAACTAGCTGAGCAACTTCTACACATCAGGCAAATTAAAAAAGCACATTGAAGTGGGTAGAAGAGGCTGAGATATAATCTTGCCATAAACCACATCCTCAGTGTGGTGACCCATAATTGGGGTGGGGGAAGACTCAAAACCTGGAGCGTCTCACTGAGGAGCAAAGGGTTTGAACCCCACATTAGGCACGACAAGTTTTAAGATCAGCCCTGGAAGATGAGCCCCCAAAACATCTAAATTGGAAAACCAACGGGGCTCACATCCATGAGACAATCAAGGCTATAGCAAACTGAAAGGCTCATGATGATGTGCCCTGGTTTTGCAGCTGCTACCCAGGGGATTTCTCTGGATTGCCTGGTTCTGGAGGCCAAGGGGGTTTGAGTTTCTCAGTCTACTGGGACTATATAACATTTGAGAGACAGTTATTGACAGGCTACGAACCCCAGGGCACTGTATAGACAGCAGAAAGAAACATTTTCTGTGAAGGAGGTTGATTTACTTGTCTAGGAGCTTCAGCCTGAGGGGCAGGCTGCAGGTGTGGCACACATTTAGAGGCCTACATAGATGGACGCCAGCTTTGCACTTACCCTCTGCCTCCCTATAGCTTGCCGGCATCTCCCAGAAAGGACCTTATACAGTCATCTGGGAGCATGAATTTTTGAGACTGCCACCAAGGGGACCCCCATCCAGGTCGCCTGAGCGTAGTAGTCAGCAGGACTTAAGCTTGCTGTCCCACAGGACTTTATACATTTGTATATTTTAAAAAGTTGCTGCCTGAGGGTTTGGCTTCCAATCAGCCCTAATCTAGGCGATGGCTGAGATTCTACCCTTTGGGACAGGTTTTGGCATACTCTGAGCTACTGTGAGCTATTAAAAATATAATAGGCTGCTTGGACAATCACAAAAGTTTGAGAGACAACCAGGGTTGAATGATAAGGTTGTCTCCTAATCTAACCCTCAAGATCGGAAAAGGTGACTGTTTTATCTTATACATAGAAACCAACACAGAGTCAAGCAAAACAAAGAAATATTTTCCAAACAAAAGAACAAGATAAAACCTCAATGAAATAAAGACAAGTAATTTACCTGATAAACAGTTCAAAGTCATGGTTATGAAGCTACTCACTGAACTCAGAAGAATGGAGCAACACAGTAAAAACTTTAACGAAGAAATAGAAAATATAGGAAAGTACCAAACAGAAGTCACAGAACTGAAGAATATGGTAACGTAACTGGAAAATAAACTAGAGGGGTTCAACAACTGACTAGGTGAAGCAGAAGGATCAGTGAACTCTAAGACTGGGTAGCTGAAGTAACCCAATAAGAGAAGCAAAAATAAAAAGGAATGAAAAAAAGTTGTGAATGAAAAATGGACTCTATAATAAATTCGACAAGTTCAGTGATCAGAAGTAACCTCACAGGGTGATCTAATCATAAATTCCTAACTGGGCAGGTCACAGTGGGTAGCCCCAGGTCTATCAAAAGTTTATCTTTGCCTTAAGCATGCCCTGTCCATTGTTCTTGTGCATCTAAGTTAACACTCCTTTGAAATGCCAAGAGTGACCCTCTTTTTCAGACCCCTCAGAGGTATAACCATTCTCAAGGGAGCAGCACAAAATCTTGTTAATTATACTGTAATCCAATCATAGAGATTCCTCCAGTTGCTTCCTCCCACCTTTATGTAATCTTCCTTAAGTTCCCTCCTTAATTCCAAATGTATAAAAAGAACTGCAATATGGTCATTTGCAGGAGCATTTGAGATCTTGCCTTCTGGCATGTCATTAGTTTGGCTCACATAAATTTTATAAAAATTCTCTACAGATTGGACGTTCTTACATCGACAAAGTGAAGATAGCTTAAGGGACTTATGGGATAACAAGCAAACTAGAAAATATAAGAAAGTACCAAACAGAGGTCACAGAACTGAAGAATAAAGTAACTTAACTGGCAAATAAACTAGAGGGGTTCACCTAGAGGGGAGAAGCAGAAGGAAGGATCTGTGAACTCTAAGGTTGGGTAGCTGAAGTAACCCAATAAGAGAAGCAAAATAATAGGAGTCCTGAAAGGAGAACAGAGATAGAAAGAGGCAAAAAACTATTTGTAAAGATAATAGCTGAAAACTTCCCTTACCTGGGGAAGGAAACAGACGGAAAAATCCAGAAAGCCCAGAGAGTTACAAATAAGATGAACCCAAAGAAACCCACAGCAAGGCACATTATTATTATTATTAAAAAAATAAAAAGTAAAAGTGAAGGATCTGAAAAGCAGCAAGACAAAAACAACTTGTTTTGTATAAGAGAACCCCCAAAAGACTACCAGCAGATTTTTAAGCTGAAACTTTGCGGGCCAGAAGGGGGTCGCAGGACATATTCAAAGTGCTAAAAGAAAACTAAAACTTTTAAGAATATTCTACCAGGCAAATTTATAGAGAGATAGTTTTCTACACAAGCAAACAGTAAAAGACTTCATCACCACTAAAATGGTTTACAAGAAATGGTTAAAGAAACCTTAAGCTGAAAAAGGCATTAATTAGTCACAGGAAAATACATGAAAGTATAAATCTCACTGGTAAGGGTAAATACATAGTAAAGTTAGTGGATTATTACTTATAAAGCTAGTATGAAGGTTAAAAGATAAAAGTAGTGAAAACAACCATAACTACAATAACTAGTTAAAGGATACACAAGATAAAAAGATATAAAATGTGACATCAAAAACATAAAACATGGATTAGAGAAGGGATAGAGTTAAAATATAGAGCTTTAGAATGCATTCAAACTTAAGTATAAACTCACAAATATAAGTTGTTATATGTAAGCTTCATCGTAATTCAGAGCAAAAAATGTATAGTAGATACACAAAAGACAAATGAATCTAGTATACCACTAAAAAAAAGTCATCAAACCACAACAGAAGAGCGTAAGAGAAAAAAAAGGAACAGAGAGGAACCACAAAACAGCCAGAAAACAATGAATAAAATGGCAATACATATATACCAATCAATAATTACTTTAAATGAAATGGACTGAATTCTACAATCAAAAGATATAGAGTGGCTGAATCGATATAAAAAAAAAAAAAGGAAAGAAGAACCATCTATCCATATACTGCCTACAAGAGATTCACTTCAGAGGGAAGGACATACATGGACTGAAAGTGAAGAAACAGGAAAAGATATTCCATGCAAATGAAATCAAAGGAAAAGTGGGGTAGCTATACTTATATCAGACAAAATAAACTTTAAAACACAGATTATAGTAAAAGACAAAGAAGGCCATTACAGACATATCATTTGTAAATAGTAATGCACCCTACATAGGAGCATCTAAATATATAAAGGAAAGATTAATAGACCTAAAGGAAGAAATGAATAGTGATACAGTAAGAATAGGGGGCTTTAATACCCTACTTACATTAATGGATCATCCAGAAAGAAAATCAATAGGGAAACATGGGTCTTAAAGGACATATTATACTAGATAGTATTAACAGATACATACGGAACATTCCAACCAAAAGTAACAGAATACACATTCATCCCAAGTGCTAAAAGAGTCTTCATGGAATGGTCTCCAGGAGATCATAAGTTAGACCACAAAACAAGTCTTAATAAATTTAAGAAGGCTGAAATCATATCAAGCATCTCTTCTAACCAAAATAGTATGAATCTAGAAATCACTGATAAGAAGAAAAATTGGAAATTTTACAACTATGTGGAGATTAAACAACATACTACTGAACAAACAGGTCAATGAAAAAAATAAAATAAATAAAAAAATACCTTGAGACAAATGAAAATAAAAACAGAACATAACAAAACTTATGGGGTGCAGCAA